ATTCTGAAAGCATTTAAATCATTTTCTATTAAAGTAATGAAAATTAAAGCTTCAATTGTCTCTTCTACTATTCAATTTGAAAATATCTGTATAAACTATACTCTGAGAGTCATAAAGATGAGCTTATATTATATAATCAGAGAAAGAGTCTCTTCTTCATTTTCATTAATTAACTCAGAAAATGAACTGAATCAAAATAGATTTCTTGATTGAAATGAAAATAATTCTTTAAAGAAAATGCTCTCTCAAATATACAGACTATATTCACTAATTAAAAATCAATTTTCTTCATTAAATATTGAAAAAATTGATTATGAGAAGATATCTCTCTGAAGAGAAAAGCTGAAATCTCTCATAGACTTATAAATAAGTGAACTATTATAAGAGAGAAAATATAAACAGTATTTGAAGAAGATCTCTATAATTAATATAAAAGACTCTATTCTGATTTACTCAGATAACTTAAAAAATAAGAGTTTGAATAGATTAGATACAGATATTACTTATACTGAAGATAATATTAATTTTATCTCAGATTTCTGAAATTTAGACTGTGAATCTGAAGTCTTTGATGCTGAACTATTTATAATAGTAAAAGCTTTTAAACTTATTAAAATAAAATCTTATAAAAGAGAAAATAGTTTGAAAGAGATATGAATATTCTCTAATAGTTAAGCTGCTTTAAAAAGACTTAGAAATAGTCAGATTCATAATAATTAAATGAATCTTGAACTGATTTTAAATTCTATTTTAAAAATTTCAAAAGAGAAGAATATTAAAACTGATAATTTATCTACACTAAGTTTCTGCTTATATGAATATTTATAACAATGAATTGACTGATTCAGCTGTAAAAAAGAATTCAGAATTAAGCAGATCTATTTAAAAAACAGTGTTCTGATCTTTTATAAAGAGAAAGATAAAAGAATCTTATTTAAATAAATAAATAAAAGCTGATAGAAATAAAAGAAGAGTATATATTATTCAAGATTTGAAACAAAACTTAAGTGAAAATCTTGTTTAATTAAATGTAAAAAGAAAATATTCTCATCTATAATTCAGCTGAAACTAGAACATAATTATTTCAAATCTTATATACAAAGATTTGATAATAGATTTGATTCAATAGAATGCTCATTCTGCAATTTAAATGAAAATTCTGAGTATATTGTAATACACTGTGTATTATATAATAGTCTCAGAGCTAGATTGAAAGAGAAGTATGATTTAAATCGATTAAATATGAGATTCTTATTCTCAACTGATATAGAAATTAAATACTTAATAGACTTTCTATCAGAAACTCAAGCAGCTATAAGAAAATGACTGAATTCAGAAATATCTGAATATAAAGAGGTGAAAATTAATCAGATATAGTCTGTTAAAACAGCTATATACTATTTTTTAATAATTTTATTTTATTATAGTCTCTTTTTACTTTTTCTTTTCTGTTCTTTTTATCTACTTATTCAATGTGTCTGTCTTTAAGACTTTGATCTCTTTTATTTTATCATGATATTTTCAAATGATTTCAAAGTATCAGAAGATGTTAAAACACTGTAATTTATAAAGAGTTTTTATATTCTGAGCTGAAATTTTCTGATTTTGTATATCTGAAATTAGACTGACTGTGTGACCGTGTCTGAGATCAGAATCAGAATATTTAATAATCTTATTATCAATTCAACTGATTTCATTACACTGTTTTAACATTACATAGTAGTCTCATACTGTCTCAGTGAGACTTACTGTCTACTCTTATCATATTTTTCAAATAAGATCATAATTTTCACTTCTTAATTTAAATTATTTTTATTGCTTTAAATGACTTTAAATCATATTTAAGTGTTATTAAAAAGTGTTACTTTTTAAAAAATTAAAAATAGTCTAAAAAAACCTTAACATGTCTAAAAATAGTAACTTTATATCAAGAATGAGACTAAATAAGATTAAATAAGATCACTTTCTTATTTTTTCTAAGTTATGATCTTATTTTAAGATCTGATATATAGTCACTTTACATGTTTTTTTAATAATTAGTCTCAGTGAGATTCATATCAAGAAATATATAAGATCAGATTAAATAAGATTAAATGTGAAATTTATAGTCTCAGCAGCTAGTCTATCTGAAATTGATAAATGTATAATAGTTAACTTTATAGATATTAGAAAAACTCTGAGAATTAAAAGTTCTCAGATAAATATTATAGTCTCTGACTATATACATTTATAATTGAAGAATAATAATAATAATAATCAAAGTATCAGAAGATGTTAAAATACTGTAATTTATAAAGAGTTTTATATTCTGAGCTGAAATTTCCTGATTTTACATATCTGAAATTAATACATTTATAATAGTTAACTTTATAGATATTAGAAAAACTCTGAGAACTAAAAGTTCTCAGATAAATATCATAGTCTCTAACTATATACATCTATAATTGAAGAATAGTAATAATAATAATACTTGAAATTATTAATAAAGAATATTCAATTTATATAAAAGAGATAGTATTTTAAATATTGAATTTTTTTAATAGATAGTAATAGCTTGCTGAATATACTCTTTAATATTTTCATCTTTATTCAACATTGTAATGATTATTAATTAATTAATAAAGATGAAGATTAAGAATTTACAAGATTTTTATCATTTTAGTGTTTTTATCATTTTAATATAATGTACTTACTAGAGGTGAGTGAGTTAGCAGTGACATGATGAGTATCTCATTCTCAGAGCAATCTCAGATTGAAAAAACCTTTCCTCAGACTTCTCTGCACATATGAGTGTTCAGAGCTTTTTTGAATTGTTTGAGAATGGTATTATATTGTTCATTTAATTACATCTTTCTTTTAATTCTTCTTTTATACCTTTCTTTTGATTCTCTTCTTTGATATATGTGACTTTTTCAATCTCTTCTTTCATTATATGCAACTTCTTCTGTTTGTTATTCATATAGATTGTTGAATGTAAGCAGTGCGGCACGCGTATAACAACATCAGTTTAAGATAAACTTAACTCAGATAATGAGAGAAAGAAGCCGGAGAAATTTTCAGCCTTTTGATGATGATGATGATGATGATGATGATGAGCAAGCATGTTTTTTTCGTCGGATTGAGGCCATTTTCAGTAGAGAAAGGTTGGTTCCAAGTGTCCGGGTCAGCTGGCTCCTCCTCATCTTGGAGTGAGTAGTATGATATTCCCAAATAAAATGCCTATTGTTGAAATGTAAAAAGAAGAAGAGAACAAAATGTGATAAATATACATGTGTAAATACAGATTTGTGTATATTGCATGTATCAAGACAAGTTAAGTGTGCTTTCTGTATATTAATTTTCATTTTCATACACATACTTTCTCCACAGCCGGGTCAATTTTCACTCGATCCAATCAATCCAATCCAATCCGATCGGATACATTCAATTTCGCGGGATTTTCTTCGAAACGTCCGATGAAAAAAGGATAATA